AACGGTCTGTCATCCTTAGTAAGGGTCTGTCATCCTTAGCAACGGTGTGGCATCCTTAGTAACGGTCTGTCATCCTTAGTAACGGTCTGTTATCCTTAGTAACGGTGTGGCATCCTTAGTAAGGGTCTTTCATCCTTAGTAACGGTCTGTTATCCTTAGTAACGGTCTGTTGTCCTTAGTAACGGTATGTCATCCTTAGTAAGGGTCTTTCATCCTTAGTAAGGGTCTTTCATCCTTAGTAATGGTCTGTCATCCTTAGTAACGGTCTGTCATCCTTAGTAAGGGTCTGTCATCCTTAGTAATGGTCTGTTATCCTTAGTAACGGTCTGTCATCCTTAGTAACGGTCTGTCATCCTTAGTAACGGTCTGTTATCCTTAGTAACGGTGTGGCATCCTTAGTAACGGTCTGTTATCCTTAGTAAGGGTCTGTTATCCTTAGTAACGGTCTGTCATCCTTAGTAACGGTCTGTCATCCTTAGTAAGGGTCTGTTATCCTTAGTAAGGGTCTGTCATCCTTAGTAACGGTGTGGCATTCTTAGTAACGGTCTGTTATCCTTAGTAACGGTCTGTTATCCTTAGTAACGGTCTGTCATCCTTAGTAACGGTCTGTTATCCTTAGTAACGGTCTGTCATCCTTAGTAACGGTCTGTTATCCTTAGTAACGGTCTGTCATCCTTAGTAACGGTCTGTTATAAAAAATAGCAGACTGCAGAATGTTCCAAATTGACCAATCAGCATTGAGTATTCCACTGCCTTGTCATAATCAGGAATATCTTCACCCAAGATGACATGAAACGGATAAAAGAGCACTTAAGATAATATTACAAAAAAAAGTTGCCAGTCACAAGAGAACACATCTTGCTGATATTTTCATAAAAGTTTATAAAATGGGGATTTCAGAAGCCAGTCATCCTCTGAGTTTCTCGATATAAGCTTCAGGTCTTTTTTTGTCCGTTGATGTTTACGTGTTTCTGTAACGCTCCGTCAACAGCTCGACGGGGCGTTCGTTTTTAGGTCAGGACACATTTTTCAGCAGTTTTGACAGCAGTAAACAATAAATAAAATCTGCTCGAAATGTTTGTCATTTTGGTATTTTTCTCCAGATTCTTGTATATGTTTTCCAAAGGTTTCTCATTGTCTCCATCTGTGTTTATTCCATGTCTTCTCTTCCAATGCACGGCGCACAGATGCTTCCTTTTAGAGATTCATAATGAAAATAATAAAATACCAGATGATTTTGTTCTTGTTTATGATGCTGGAAGCTATAAATGACATTGTCAGCATTCCCTACATTTCCCCTGCATATTCCTCAACATTTTGTACACCTTGCTTCTGTTTCTGTTCACCAGATTATTAATAAAGCAGAGGTATTGATTGTTTCATAATGAGATACGGATTTTATGGTCTGAACATGAGGTGAGGGAGAATTGTCCAATGTTTGTGACAATATGAATACTGTATGAATTTCAAAAACATTATTACAATGTAATGATTTTACAATTTCCAAAGCTCTGCAAAAAACAGGGGTTCCTTACAGTACATTAACAAACCACACAACTGTGGCTTTGCAAAGAGTCGAACAAATATTGGTATTACGGTGACCTACTGTCACTTCCAGTCAAACCTTTTGTCATCTACAAAGCTTCTACAACATCAAAGCTGCCATAAACTGTGCCTAAAAGAACCTTTGTGATGTTTGCGGTTCAGAGAAAATCTATTTGGAACAGATCCTTGAGGAGCACCTTCTCAGAGGATTCATGAGAGTTGAAGGAAGGCTTCACATCTGAGCTCCTTCAGAATTATTGTATCTCTTTGTAAGCTCTTCTCAAGCTTTTGAAATGTATCTTTCAGCAACTAAGCGTCCATGTACACTTTCGTGTCTCGACTCGACTTCAAATTATTTCAAATCGGGCCAAATGTACCACTGATCTTTGGACGCGCTGCAAATCAGATGACAGCTGTATGAAGTGGCTCAGGGTAACAGGTGAGCTAACCAATATAAATTAAACATAACTAGCTGTTTTAATCACAAGGGTCTGAAACCAACATCGCAATTAGGCAATTTGAAAGCTACCAGCAGAAGGTGTTATGCGGTGTAACTCTGCAGCTGCTAATGTAATACTTAATACTTTAAGTGTGAATCTATCTCTACTGCCTGAATCTGCTTTATGATTTTCACTTTCTTTGCTTCATCTGTTCTGTTATTAATTCAGCAGGTGAACCTATATGTTCATCAAATAGTGTGTGTGAGCTTAACTGTGTGTATTAAACTAAAACGGAGCATTTCCTGTCAGCTCAGATTGTATTCCTGCTTTTTTAAACTGTAGTATGAGCTCATGTGTTTCAGTGTTGGTGTAGAGGCTGAATCTGCTTCATGAAAGGCAGGTTTTACTATCAATAAAATCATTCCTGTGATAATTGTTCTGTTACTGGTTGTTGTTGATGTGTTTTCGTTGTTGAGGTGGCAGCCTGTGATGTTGTTATCTGTATCATGCAGACAGATGAAACCTCTAAACTTTATCACGTCTCAATCTGATTTGTGTTTGGTAACTTTTCAAGCACTCTGATATAGTGTAAGCACAAAACAAATAGATTAAACTTTATACATTAAAAGTTCCTGAAAGTCAGAGTTATTGACATATTTACTTTGGTTTTCAGAACCATCAGAAACCGACTTTAGTTATCTAGTTTCGTCCAAAACTTTTCCTTTCTGCAGCTTCAGAAAGGATGCAGATATAAAAACCCAAATGTTCATCATGAAGAAACATCTTCAGCAACTTGAAAACACATGCAGCATTTAGAGAACATTCAGCGACTTGAGGAGACATGCGCAGCATTTACTAAAAGCTTCAGAAACCAAACGCTGCAAATAAAAACCTGAAAATGCTCATTATCTGAACATATTCTTTACTTTGAAATGATACATTATTAACACCAACCGAGCAATAAACACGCTCGCTTTATCTATCCTCAATAATCTTTAAAAGCTTTTCTCAAAACCCATTTGGTGATCTAACAATTAGAATAAAACAAGACAAAAGTGCACATAGTCGTTAAGCTTGATCAAAAGCAATAAAACAGATAAAGTTTGTCTCTTCATGAAGAATAATTTTCTGGAATAAATGAGATTGAAAAATAAAAGCCACCACAGTTACACCCTCTCTGATGGATATGAGATAGCATGTGCTAATTGCTCTATAAAGGTTGTGTGGGAATGTGATGATTAATGGAAAGTGCTCTATATTAAAACACCATTATGTGAGAGCAGGTGTAGCGGAGCGACAGATGGGCAGAACGATCTGTGAAATGCTGTTTTTATTTTCATGTGTGGAGCTCGTTAACCGTTCATCTGTATTAACAGGTGCTTGGCCAATTAAAAAACCTCATCCTGTCTGTTTTAAGTGACAGAGGACATGAAGGTCTGTCGTTGAATTTAAGAGGCCCTATTCTGCTTTTCAGGGGGTTTTCCCTACAGGTTTGAGTGCATGTAAATGGTCTGCAGAGGCTAAAATCCCTGTGTTCCCTCCAGAGGGAGTTTCTCTCCCACACATTCCTGGGATATGCAGGTATATTCTTGAGGGACTGGTACTTCACATGTGTATTTTCATGTTATGCTACTTTGTAGTTCTACTGCACTATAATTCAGACGTAAATGGTGTACTCCTACAATCTGGTCAAGATCTGAGTACTTCTACTTTTACTCAAGTACAATATCTGAGTACTTCTAATTTTACTGAAGTACAATATCTGAGTACTTCTACTTTTACTCTAGTACAAGATCTGAGTACTTCTACTTTTACTCAAGTACAATATCTGAGTACTTCTACTTTTACTCAAGTACAAGATCTGAGTACTTCTACTTTTACTCTAGTACAAGATCTGAGTACTTCTCCTTTTACTCAAGTACAATATCTGAGTACTTCTACTTTTCCTCAAGTACAATATCTGAGTACTTCTAATTTTACTGAAGTACAAGATCTGAGTACTTCTCCTTTTACTCAAGTACAATATCTGAGTACTTCTACTTTTACTCTAGTACAAGATCTGAGTACTTCTACTTTTACTCAAGTACAATATCTGAGTACTTCTACTTTTACTCAAGTACAAGATCTGAGTACTTCTACTTTTACTCTAGTACAAGATCTGAGTACTTCTAATTTTACTGAAGTACAAGATCTGAGTACTTCTCCTTTTACTCAAGTACAATATCTGAGTACTTCTACTTTTCCTCAAGTACAAGATCTGAGTACTTCTACTTTTCCTCAAGTACAAGATCTGAGTACTTCTACTTTTACTCTAGTACAAGATCTGAGTACTTCTACTTTTCCTCAAGTACAAGATCTGAGTACTTCTACTTTTCCTCAAGTACAAGATCTGAGTACTTCTACTTTTACTCAAGTACAAGATCTGAGTATTTATCTCTCCTCTGGGTATATTGTACCCCTCCAGCAGCAGGGGGTCTCATCAAGCCCTCAGGAAGTGCTCCGGACACTGAGGAAAATATTCCTAGTGGCCAAACGGCGGTACTACACTTTCCGTATCAGTCCGTGACGTCACTGGGCCCAGAAATACTTTCTCCCATTGACTAACATGGGGAAAGAGACGTCTGTAAATCAGCGGAACACTTGTATAGCCCTTATTATAATCATTCGGTCCTTAAAGTTACAAAATGCACTAAAAGCTTAATCCAGATTTATTTTCTCTCTCCATTCATTCTACTGAGCGGAGAGCAGGAATTCGGGGGCGGGGCTTAATGATAGGAGATGGGGCTTAATGACAGGAGGCGGGGCTTAAGGGAAAACTCAACTCCGCTCTATGAGCTACATACGGGTATACTTCTGCTCTAACAGTAAGGCATGATGGGTAATTTGTGACGTTTTGCTCTCTAAAATATGTCAGGCCATTTTGTCCTCATGCGCCAATGAGCAGCTCTCATAGGAATGAACAAGCCACGCTTCCAACGGTGTATCCAGTTCTTATTAAACATCCATGGGTCTCACCTGTCCAGGGCGATGCAGCAGAGGTGCAGGATGGAGGCGGTGGTCAGCAGGACGTCCAGAGCGGTCCTCACCAGGCAGAAGGTGTCCCCGTAGATCCAGTGCTGCGTCACCAGCTCGATGGCTCCGAACGGCATCACCAGCACCGAGACCAGCAGGTCCGCGAAGGCTAAGGACACGATGAAGTAGTTGGTCTTTATCTTCCTGAGGAACGAGAAGAAGTGTATTTAATATATATATATATTAATACTACAGTCAAGGAGGCCAGGGACACGATGAAGTAGTTGGTCTTTATCTTCCTGAGGGGGGAGGGGGAAGACATGTATTTAATATATATACAATGTATGAAGAAATGGAGTTAGTCGAAGTGTGAGGGATGAAATATAGCTTATAAAATAATGCTGTCCAAATATATCGTTTATTTCCGTGCAGCTTCTTTAGCGTTGCTGTCACACTCAGATTGGCATTTGTATGAAAACCAATAATACTGTAGAGCAGCAAAACACATGAACAAACCCATTGTTTTTATTAACACACAATGAAAAAATAGCGTTATTCATGCAAAGCAATCATAGAGAAAGCAAAACATCAGCTCCTGATTCGTCCTTGTAATCAAAATACAAACACAATCATGATGGATTGTTAAGAAAAAGCCAAATGTTTCAAATCAAACTTCCTACAGGAACACGCTGGGGCTTCCTGTACACCTCTTTGTTTTTAATCAAATATGAATTAAAGCAATATCCTGAACAACAAAGGGCACATTTCAGTGTGAAGTCTGTGAATACTGCACTAAAAAATGTCCCAAATTGCGATCAATGAAGTAAATCTTATCTTATGACTTCTGAACAGAGATGCTGATTGTGAGACGAAACAGAAAGAGGTTGGTTAAATTCCAACACAAAGAAAAGAGGTGGACCAAATTATGAATCACATTACTCACAATCATACGTGGGAAAAGTACGTCAATAATAAGTGTTCTCAAAGCTGGTGAAGGTGCAGCTACTTTGAATGACTTTGTATACTGCAGGGTAGCTTGTGGATTTACTCCAGGTGGAACTACAGTCTGATTTAACACTTGATTATATTTCACATCATTCATCCAGATCTGTGAAGTAACTGAAGGTATTCAATACATGTAGTGGAGGAAAAGTACACAATTCACCTCTGGACTGTAGTGGAGTAGAAGTACAGAGTACCTCAAAATTGTCCTTAAAGGTGGGGTATGTAATTCATTTCAGAAACACTTTTTGTTATATTCCATGGAATGCTCTTAACATCCTGATAGCAATGAATACATGAAATGCTTTGACAATAAATACATAAAAAATGTAATCTGTGGAAGCCGTGGCGCTGTAAAAAGCACGACCAATCATCTAAAGCAGGGGTGTCAAACTCAAGGCCCGGGGGCCAAATCCGGCCCGCGACTTCATTTTATGTGGCCCCACAAGAGCTGGCAAAGAATATAATATGTTTATTATACGGTTACATGCTACTTTACAGAAGCACGTTGCCCATAAACGACATGTCCCACAATGCATCTCAAATTTGACTTTTTCTCAGAATTTGACTTTTTTTGTCCAAATATGCCTTTTTTCTTAGAATTAGCCTTTTTCTCATAAATAGATTTTTTTTTCAAAATGTCACAATCAATGTTTTTCCAGAATGTGGCTTTTCTTTTAAAATCATATTGTGACATTCTTACTGAAGAGACTTGCAATTATTTGCTCTAGACTTCTGCTTTCAGACGTAGTTAATTATGAAGTTATATTAATTAATGATATAGTCTTAAAGTTACAACCGGCCCTTTGAGTGCAACCATAATGCTGATGTGGCCCGTGATGAAATTGAGTTTGACACCCCTGATCTAAAGTAACTGGATGGCCTACCTGCCTGTCAGCCTTCCATCTGTGCACAAACTTATCTCGTGCCCTCATTGGTCATGTGCGCGTTCGTGTGTGTTGGAGGAGGGGCTCTGTGAGGAAGTCTGAAGGAAGGGGCAGATTTGTTCCGGTTGTGTATTTTCAAATTCTAGCGCACTCGAGCTGGTTTCTCCAAAATGACATACCCCACCTTTAAGTACAGTTCTTAGTTACTTTCCACCACTACTCACAATGCAATATATTTCAGGAGAACGGGAAGACAAAAACAAAACAGAGAGGAAAGGAAAACGTCCCCGGAGTGAAAGCAGGACGACAGAGAGGTGAAAGTTTGAGGAAACACTCATCTCTCAAACTTGAAATGAAAAGGAAAGACAGAGAGAGATAAAAGTGGATTCATTGTTCAAACACAGCGAGGAAACACTGATTCCTCTCTGACGCTGAGACTAACTCCCTGCTCTCTCTCTGTGATACACGCTGTGTCTCTTTATCGTAGAGAAACAGCTGCTGAGATAAAGAGACAAACATCACGATGAAATAAAACCCAGGAGGATTTACTCTATTGTTCCTCTGCAACTGGGCTCAAATTCAGAGAGAGACAGATATGAAATCACCCATTGATTTTACTATCAATTAATGATTCATTTTCTTAATATTCTCTTCGTAGTTTCCATTATTCAAGTTGAAATACTTTCTAAATTAAAGTAATATTTTATTTAATGTTCTTTTGCTCGACTTCTTTAACGCTTTTTCTCTTGCAAACGTCCATGCAAGTCTCTACCTTCATTAATACTAAACTGTGCAATATTCACACCCCTATTATACAGGTCTCAGATATATCCAGAGCCTGTCTCTGATTGGCTGAAACACCAAACAGATCATTGCAGCATTACCCATAATCCCCTCTGTTTCAGCCCTGTTTCCAAAGTGCTGATTCTCTGTCTGTTACTTTAGATGAAAATAAGGAGCCCCTCCCCACGCCCCTCTGAGAGACATTTGGTTACAAAGAACTCAATGGTGCTCTAGGAGGAGATTCAGGTGATACGGTGGGGGGGGGGGTCACCTTGGTTGCTGATTGGCTAATGGTTACACAAGACAAAACATCATTATGACATCACAAAGTGGCCAAAATCTGATCAGCTCATTTTCAGACAGGTTTTTATAAAAATAGATCAGGACAAAAAGAGAGAGAATCTTTGTTCCTGAAACTATCTGATATGATTTTCCACTGAATGTCCACATGACGTCTGTGTGTGTGTGTGTGAGCCTCTCTTTTTTAACCTGGATACTTCATGTGATAGCTTGTGTGTGTGAACAGACTGACACAGGTTTAGTGTGTGAGAGAGTGTGTGTTATGCAGTAGCACAATACAGCAGTGTGTAACTGTTGCCTGAAACACACACTCCAACACTGACTCCTTCACACAGCTAACAAGGCCCCTTTAAAGTCAAAGTTAGACCATCCCCCTCATCTTATTGGTCAGCTGTTTATTACCAGTCTCTCCAGTGAGAGAATCAGCTGGTGGTCTCTCTCTGTAAACATGTTCAGTGAGAGGGTCTTCCATCCTGCTGTCAGAAACACTAACAGCTCCTAAAACACACTGCTTCATGTGGGACACACACACACACACACACACGCACGCACACGCACACACACACACTGGAAACACACAAGCACAAACAGTGTGTAGAGATGTAAAAAGCAGAAACAGAAACACATATGATTACTGTAGATACATACGGTTTACATACACACATACTGTAGGGGCACACACACACACACACACACACGCTGAAACACACACACTTAAAGACACAGTCACACTCACTGACATGCTGACATACAAGCGAAAACACAAAGTGAAATGTGCTTAAATACACACACACACACACACACACACACACACACACACACACACACACACACACACACACACACACACACACACACACACACACACACACACACACACACACACACACACACACACACACACACACACACACACACACACACAACACACACACACACACACACACACACACACACACACACACACACACACACACACACACACACACACACACACACACACACACACAGCTTACATGTGGGAGCAGGAGGCCTCATGTTTAGTTAGAATGACTTATCGTGTTGAGCTTAAAGTGAGAAAAATAAATACACTTTATGAAAAGTAATGTGTGTTACTAGGAAACACATGATCTAGGAAACACACACACGCACGCACACACACACACACACACACACACACACACACACACACACACACACACACACACACACACACACACACACACACACACACACACACACACACACACACACACACACACACACACACACACACACACACACACACACACACACACGATTACAGTAGATAAATAAGGTGTGTGTCATTTGGTGCAAAAGTGTTTATGTCGTTTTGAGTGCAATGCTTCATTTTACAGGATATACTGGGTGTGTGGTTTTGTTAAGTGTTTTTAGAAAATGAGCCGTGTGTATCTGTTATTGGACACAGCTCTGTGCATTTGGACTGTTTCCATTTCCACAGTTCAGTGTGTTCTGTTTTCCTCCAGCTGAACACACTGTAAGTGAAATGACCCGGGGGAGAAACACGGCCCCAATAAAAAGCATTAAGAGAAGATCTGAGTGTTTTCTAAATATGTCTGAGGTTGTAAATGTCTCTGCAACAACACGGGGGAATTAACAGCAGAGTTGAATGGAAATGCAAAACGTTCCTAATCCCTTTAAAGATTATTCTGTAATTACTGCAATTATTAAATTACTCAGATTAAAGCTCTTCGTGTCTTTTTTTTAAGTAAAATAAGACAATCCCATTATTAACGTCATGCAGTAGATTGCATTGTTTTTATACGACTCCTTGGGGACTTTCTTTTATAAAAAAGCACCAATAAAGCTGAATATTCTGCTGTTGGAAGACGCATTACAGTTCATTATTAAAGGGTACAATTTGGGCTATAATCTGTTTAAGCATTAATATCATCATCATAATAATACTTGTTTTAACCTATCCTAAGGGAGTGCATGTACGTAGACACGTTGTGCCTCTCCACCTCCGTTCCTCACTTCTTACTTGCTACCCTTTCCCCTCAACCTATCCTAAGGGAGTGCATGTACGTAGACACGTTGGTTTAGCTGCTATAGGCTTAGACTGTCGGGGGACACCTTGCTTCTTCCTTCTCTCTGTCTGTACCTGTGTACTCTCATGTTCCCAATAACCCAGCTTCCCCCACATTTCTTTTTGGTGTCTATCTACGCCGGGATCCTGAGTCGTGGCTGATCCTGTTGCTGCGGTCCTGAGTCCTGGATCCTATAAATTAAAATTAACTATTTGTATTTTCAAATTTGTATTATAATAATAATAATAATAATAATAATAATAATAATTCATTTATTTTATATAGGCGCCTTTCAAGGCTCTCAAGGTCGCCGTACAAACACATAAAAAACAAGAAACACAATACATAACACCAGCATAAGAAACATAAACAAGACAATGCAGTATATAAAAAATCAAATCAATAAAAACAGAGGATGTGTGATGGATAACGATCAGGGTGGATATGCGAGTGTGAAGAGATGTGTTTTGAGACGTGATTTGAAAATGGGGAGAGAGTCAGTGTTGCGGATGTCAGGGGGGAGGGAGTTCCAGAGGCGGGGTGCAGAGCGGCTGAAGGCTCTAGACCCCATGGTGGTTAGGCGGGGTGCAGAGCGGCTGAAGGCTCTAGACCCCATGGTGGTTAGGGGGAGGGGGGTGCAGAGCGGCTGAAGGCTATAGACCCCATGGTGGTTAGGGGGAGGGGGGTGCAGAGCGGTTGAAGGCCATAGACCCCATGGTGGTTAGGCGGGGTGCAGAGCGGCTGAAGGCTCTGGACCCCATGGTGGTTAGGCGGGGTGCAGAGCGGCTGAAGGCCATAGACCCCATGGTGGTTAGGCGGGGTGCAGAGCGGCTGAAGGCTCTAGACCCCATGGTGGTTAGGGGGAGGGGGGTGCAGAGCGGCTGAAGGCTATAGACCCCATGGTGGTTAGGGGGAGGGGGGTGCAGAGCGGCTGAAGGCTATAGACCCCATGGTGGTTAGGGGGAGGGGGGTGCAGTGAGGTGGAGGGTGTGTTGATGTGCAGGAGATTATATTCTTGGAACTAAAAAAACAACTAACTTCTCGTCAGATCTACAAAAAAGATCACCACCCAGAAATTATTATAAATTGTAGTTTTACTTAATTTAGAGCAGGGGTCGGCAACCCCTGGCACGCGTGCCAGCATTGGCACGCGGCACCGTAACCAGTGGCACACTAGGAATAAGTGGAATAAGTGTGCAAAATATTTAAATTGTATTTTCGGATCCTGAACGAGACCGCCGCCAGAGCGCGTCTCCCCGCACGCAGCGCAGCCCCGCTCTCTTTAACTCCAGGTGACTTTCTGCCGCTTTCCTCCGTGGTGCAGGGCTGATCGTTTCACCACAGAGGAAAGCACTTCACAAATTGCAGTACCCATAAGGAGCTTTACAAATGCCGCAGTTTTTGCGTGGCTGTGTCTTTAGTTGAAAGCCCAGTGGCGATCTGCTCATCTCTCATTGAAATAATATGCTACAAAGGGGCGGACTGGCCATCTGTGTGTTGAACTTTCCTGTCGGCTCCCAGACCGTAGTCGAGGAGGGTAGAAGCAACAAGCTTCAGGTTCAATAACCCACTTTAGCTTAAATGACTGGAGAGAGGCGAGCTCTTCTTGGGAGGCCGTTGCATTTATTTAGCTGTTCTTCTGTTTCACAAAATACATCACAGACCTCTGTTTTTCTGCTGCCTCGTTTCACTTCCAGAAACATACACACGCTCGCTCACTCTCGCTCTACCATCCACACACACACATGCACACGCCACACCCCTCTCTCTCTCTCTCTTAAAGGGACAGCGATCTCATCTCACTCTGCATGACCCTAATATCATAACATGTGTGTTCTGGAGAATCACAGAACGGACGATCGTCCTTATTATTATGCCGTTTAAACCAGGTCCACACACTGCGAGGCCCTCCTGTTGATAGTTCATGAGCGTCAAGCTCCTCAACCCCCCCCCCCCCCCCTTGATAATTCTCGATCGTTGGCACGCTGATAACAATCTTTTTTTTTTAATGGCACTTCATATCAAAAAGGTTGCCGACCCCTGATTTAGAGTATGTACTGTAGGAAATTATTTTTTTGTATTTTTTTGTATTTAGTATTTAAATGTTATTAAAACAAAAGACAGGAAATGAGTGTGATCCCACCTGAGCTGCCGGTCCTTGCAGACGGCCGTCATCACCAGCAGGTTTCCCAGGATGCTCATCAGCATGACCAGAGACAGGAAGCAGATCAGAAAGATCCGCCCCACCATGCCGTTGCTGCGGAAACACAATAACAACAACACATCAGTCAGTGGAAAACACAACAACAACAACAACAACACATCAGTCAGTGGAAAACACACAGGTAGGAGTGAGGAAGAGGAGGAGAACTAGCTTCACTCAGGTGTAAAAAAGTGTATTTTATGACAGCGAGGAGCTGCGTCAGCGAAAAGTGATAATTGCCTGACTCCACTTTTCTAAATTGGGTTCAGGTACGGAAACAACTTTTAATGAGACCGAGCGCTCTTCATCCAGGACAGGATTTACAGTTTAGCTGCTCATCCATCCGTCTGGAGGTGGAAATGTTTCAACCTGTAATTGTGAATCTACTCTATGTGACATTTTTATTCCATATTTAAAGCGACGGATGTGAGAAAGTTCAGTGTTTATTGTTTTAATGAAGCATGAAATATATCAGGAGCTTTTTAAAGTTGCTACAATTGCAAGGTACATTAAAGGAGAGGTGTCATGGCCATTTCCACTGATCATATTTCCATTGTTGAGGTATACTAAAATAGATTTATATTGTGCATTTTTCCAAACTCACATTGGTTTCTCAAACAGCATCTCTGTAAACTACTTGTATTCCCTGAATTTCACTCTCTGCCTTTAACGGCTCGTTGTAGCTCCAATAGCTCCAGCCCCCACCCTCCCTGTGAGCACAGTGTGCTCTGATTGGTCGGGACGTTGTGAATCGCGCTGAGCTCCGTGGAGGTGTTGTTTCCTTGTTTAGGATACATAGCGAAACACAGCCAAACTCATCCTGAGCACACACAAAGTCACAGCCGAAGTAAAAACAATAAGTGTGGCTTGATATTGAGTAAGAAAAAGGTTGATAAACGCTGTGAGAATGGGTCTGCAGAGAGAATGGGTCTGCAGAGAGAATGGGTCTGCAGAGAGAATGGGTCTGCAGAGAGAAGGGGTCTGCAGAGAGAAGGGGTCTGCAGAGAGAATGGGTCTGCAGAGAGAAGGGGTCTGCAGAGAGAAGGGGTCTGCAGAGAGAATGGGTCTGCAGAGAGAATGGGTCTGCAGAGAGAAGGGGTCTGCAGAGAGAAGGGGTCTGCAGAGAGAATGGGTCTGCAGAGAGAAAGGGTCTGCAGAGAGAATGGGTCTGCAGAGAGAATTTTGCCACGATCCCAACTGTCTGTTATCAGCCTGCAGCCAGGGAGGAGAAATCAGCTGAGCTGCCTGCTCCCTGCACACAGATGTGTGTGTGAGGAAGTCCGTGGATTGGTCAATTTGGACCAATCAGCGGGGGCTTAACGTAACGGCTCCGCGGCTTGGTCCATTTTGTTCCGGGTACGGCATGACATCATGCCGTCCCGGAAGAATCAAATGGACAATGACGTATCTCCAACGAGGCGTTTTGGGGAGGTATTTTCTGTGTTAGAGTTTTACTCAGGGTGTACTTTGAGGGTTTTGACTCTGCACACCGTTTACATGCATAAAAACCTTCAAAAGTATGTTACTGTGCTTAATTTTTAGTATAATTATATATTTGTTATGCAAATATGTCTCTATGTCTCTATGTGTCTATGTCACCCTAGAGCAGGGGTATTCAACTAAAATTCAACGAGGTCCAGTTAGAGAACATGTCCCCATGCAAAGGTCCGGAACATCAAAATGTCTAACTTGCTTTATGAATTAGTGTGATATATATTGAAGTAGCCTGTAGCTTTATCAACGTCTGCATGTAACAACTTTTAAAAATAAAATAGAGAAAATAAATAAAATAGCTTTTGAAAATATGTGCATCTTAAAAGTGCTTAATTTTAGATAAATAAAATAAAGTGTAGCAGCAGCTTGAGTTTCCCTTTTTCTTTGTTAACCGTTTCACATCATGACTTAACAGTTTCAGACGATTATAGAACAATATCAGTCTTTACACATCATAACAATTGAACAGTTTTAAAGTTTCTCTTTCTTTCCCTCTTATATTGCAGTCCCTCACTCACTACTTTTTAATTCAGTGCGAGAATTGAGCTCGAGCTTGTCCTGCCAGGAGTTTGTAAATCTGGGCTGAAATGGTGTCAGGACCATTCTCATACACACATGCAGGTGCTCATTGGTTAGCCTCGGTTAGCCTGCCCTGGAACCATATTTAGTTTTAATTTTGATCCTGGTGGACTGATCATATTGGGCTCTGAGACTGCTTATTTTTCCTCCGTTCTGACTTGAGAGGGAATGTTTGGTCAAACACTTTGTGTTTTGTCTCATAGTGGCGTTTTGGCACTTTTAATGAGCGCCACGGTCTCTGAACAAATGAGACACACTGGTTCTGTGCTCCCAGTGGGCAGGATGAACATGAATGAGTCCACTCAGGGTTAAAAGCTCTGTTCTCACTTTCCTCTTCTTGGAGAGCGCCATGTGTAATTATTTGTCTCTCCCTGTCTGCTGCTAACACGCCTGTTCACTCTCCTCTCCGTCTTCTCTCCCTGTATCGCTAACTCTTCTCTTCACTCACTTTCCTCTCCGCTTCGCTCTCATCTCTTCTTCTGTGTTTCTCTCCCTGTATCGCTCACTCGTCTCTTTCGCCCCCTGTCGGCGGCGGTTAAAATAGAATCGCCCCGTCAAAATTGAAATCCCCTATTAATGTATTGATTATAGGTCCACCTGTTGCCGACCCCTGCCCTCGAGGTTATTGGGTATCATCACGCCTCACCCCCTGCTGTGCTGGTGTTTCTGTATTTGGAGTAATGAGGCCAGGGTCACTCATTAAAAAAATTGTCAGACCTTTCTAAGTCCATACAGTACATTTTGAAGCCAGCAAACCATTGATTTATATTTTTAAGTTAAGTTATTTACCCAGACTAAGTCCCGAAGGCCAGGAAAAACAATTATAAAAAATGCTTCGTGGAGCCTTTTTAAATTATCCTCCACACACACACACACACACACACACACACACACACACACACACACACACACACACACACACACACACACACACACACACACACACACACACACACACACACACACCACACACACACACACACACACACACACACACACACACACACACACACACACACACACACACACACACACACACACACACACACACACACACACACACACACACACACACACACACACACACACACACACACACACACACACACACACACACACACACTCAAAACCATCACCTGATTTTAATATATATATTTTGTAGAAATACTTTTTAAATAACCAATTAGTCCCTTTAAGATGCACATATTTATTTTGTGTTTGAACTGCTCAATGTGTGTGCGATGGCGAGTGTTGTTTTATTTGACGGTTCAAAAGACACATTTCCATTTTATGTACATTTAATGGATAATAAAGTAAATCTGAACGGCAAAAACCCAATGTCTTTGACACCGAACCAACAACGTATCTTTGGCCGTTCCTCCTGTGATTTACAATTAGAGGATCATTTTCAAGGACTTCTCTAATGGGACACCTTCGTAAAGAGAACTGCAAAATGGTTTTATAAAAAGAGTGAAGAAGACCAGATGTAGGAGCTTCTCTCACCCCAGGAGTATAGTACGTCATAAAGTGCAGACGCAGCATTTTTCCGCTACTGTACATTTAACCTTGGCATGGATTCAATGAAACGTCTCAACGTGCAGTGTGAGAGCCTCTGAAAATGGCTTCTTTCATCTCACACTTGTTTGACATTGGTAATGCTTTACTGTTTCCTCCTGAGGCCTGTGGTCACTCTGAAGGTTTGACAGGTGAAGAGGAGGAAGAGGAGGGTGTTTAGGGGGATTCAGAAACAGAAAAAACACCATTTCCTTCTTCTGCAAGTCAACAGAAAATCACAAGTACAAGTATGACCTCTCATATCCATTGGATTTTGGATTATTTGAGCAAATAGCTCTCTCAAACATTTGTGATACCTGAACGTTTTGTTCAGCAGGATAATCTCCACATAATATTACCTTTATGATTTGAGAAGTAAAAAGCTAATGTTGGGCTATAAAGGAACTACAGCACGGTCACATGACTTCACGTCACCACCGCTAAGCTAAAGGAGGCTAATGTTGGGCTATAAAGGAACTACAGCACGGTCACATGACTTCACGTCACCACCGCTAAGTTAAAGGTGGCTAATGTTGGGCTATAAAGGAACTACAGCACGGTCACATGACTTCACGTCACCACCGCTAAGCTAAAGGCGGCTAATGTTGGGCTATAAAGGAACTACAGCACGGTCACATGACTTCACGTCACCACCGCTAAGCTAAAGGTGGCTAATGTTAGGCTATAAAGGAACTACAGTACGGTCACAAGACTTCACGTCACCACCGCTAAGCTAAAGGAGGCTAATGTTAGGCTATAAAGGAACTACAGCATGGTCACATGACTTCACGTCACCACCGCTAAGCTAAAGGTGGCTAATGTTGGGCTATAAAGGAACTACAGCACGGTCACATGACTTCACGTCACCACCGCTAAGCTAAAGGCGGCTAATGTTGGGCTATAAAGGAACTACAGCACGGTCACATGACTTCACGTCACTACCGCTAAGCTAAAGGTGGCTAATGTTAGGCTATAAAGGAACTACAGTACGGTCACAAGACTTCACGTCACCACCGCTAAGCTAAAGGAGGCTAATGTTAGGCTATAAAGGAACTACAGCATGGTCACATGACTTCACGTCACCACCGCTAAGCTAAAGGTGGCTAATGTTGGCCTATAAAGGAACTACAGCACGGTCACATGACTTCACGTCACCACCGCTAAGCTAAAGGTGGCTAATGTTGGGCTATAAAGGAACTACAGCACGGTCACATGACTTCACGTCACCACCGCTAAGCTAAAGGAGGCTAATGTTAGGCTATAAAGGAACTACAGCACGGTCACATGACTTCACGTCACCACCGCTAAGCTAAAGGCGGCTAATGTTGGGCTATAAAGGAACTACAGCACGGTCACATGACTTCACGTCACCACCGCTAAGCTAAAGGTGGCTAATGTTGGGCTATAAAGGAACTACAGCACGGTCA